AAGCGTAACTTATGTAAATAGTGTATATTCATTGTAAAAGCGTGAGTTGTATTCTGTCTGTCGTGTAAAATAAAGCTATAAGAAACTTATGTGCTCAAATTGAATATAATAAAGAATGGCAACCGCCACAAACCCAACAGATCGCACATGAGAGATATTTGTCAATCAATGAATTATCAACTGCTGTCCAATGGTCGAATGATTTTCAGGCACACGTACAGCCCAATGAGGCACAAATACAGCCCAATGAGGCACAAATTCAGCCTAATGAGGCAAAAATTCAGCCTAATGAGGCACAAATACAACCCAAAGGCACAAATTCAGCCCATTGTCATTGAGGCACAAATACGTATAGCCGAATGAGGCACAAATTCAGCCCAATGAGGCACAAATCCTGCCCAATGAGGCACAAATCCTGCCCAATGAGGCACAAATCCTGCCCAATGAGGCACAAATTCTGCCCAATGAGGCACATATACAGCCCAATATAAAGGCACCAATTCAGCCCAATGTGGCACAAATACAGCCCAATGAGTCAAAAGTTCAGCCCAATACGGCACAAATTCAGCCCACTGAGGCACAAATTCAGCCTAATGAGGCACAAATACAACCCAATAAGGCACAAATTCAGCCCATTGTCATTGAGGCACAAATACATACAGCCCAATGAGGCACAAATTCAGCCCAAATATGGCTCAAATTCAGCCCAATGAGGCACAAATACAGCCCGATGAGGCAGAAATACAGCCCAATGAAGGCAGAAATATAGCCCAATGAGGCAAACTATGAAGTATAGCCCAATGAGGCAAACTGTGAAGTATTAGCTAATAATTTACATAAACGAGCATTGTTTCCCTCGCGATTGTTCACTAAAGTGCCGTGGCTCTGAAGGGCCATGCTACCGTGGCTCTGAAGTGCCATGCCATGACATGGTATATTTTTTTAAATTTGTGTCCCCCAAAAAATTGACTGTTCATTTTATACTTATAAATAAGATCTCGTATTGTTCAAATTTAATTTAAACTGAAACTTTTCCTTTAATTGACTTACAACTCAGAATTCTGACTTGTAACACGGAATTCTGACTTATAACTCAAAATTCTGACTTATAACGCGGAATTCTGACTTACAACTCGGAATTCTGACTTATAACACGGAATTCTGACTTATAACACGGAATTCTGACTTATAACACGGAATTTTGACTTATAACACGGAATTCCGACTTATAACACGGAATTCTGACTTATAACGCAGAATTCTGACTTATAACACGGAATTCTGACTTATAACTCAGAATTCTGACTTATAACGCGGAATTCTGACTTATAACCAGTAGCGTAGCCAGCCCGACGATTTAGTCCCGCTATGCAAATATTTTCGTGTTCATTGACTGTGAAAACAATCAATTTATAAAGAAATGAATAATGATAATAATTTTGCATAGCGGGACTAAATTGTCGGGCTGGCTACGCCACTGCTTATAACTCAGAATTCTGACTTATAACTCAGAATTCTGACTTATAACACGGAATTCTGACTTATAACACGGAATTTTGACTTATAACACGGAATTTTGACTTATAACTCAGAATTCTGACTTATAACACGGAATTCTTATAAGGGGCTTCGGTGGCCAAGTGGTTAGTGCACTTGCCTCTCACCTCTGAGGCTGCAGGTTCGAGTCTCACTAAGTACCTTCTCAGTGCGACTCGAACCCAGTCCCCATGTGAAAAGAGTAAAAGTCAACGCTCTGCCGAAAGCCGTGGGTTTTCCCCGGGTACTCGGTTTCCTCCCACACGGAAAGTTGACAGGGTGGGTTAGGTAAAAAGGGCCCACAGTAATTGGCATATGCTGTTGTGGTGACCCTGCCCTAGTTGGCAAAGCTAAATAAATAAATAAATAAATAAATTCTGACTTAAAACACGGAATTTTGACTTATAACACAGAATTTTGACTTATAACTCGGAATTTTGACTTATAACACGGAAGTTTGACTTATAACGCAGAATTCTGACTTATAACACGGACTACCGACTATTTTAGGCCCAACTCGAAATTCTGACAGAGATCATCAAAAATCACATGCATTTCTTACAAACACAATGGCCGATCGCGACAAGTTGATTCTTCGGATATTGATATGGTTTGTGCTAGCTTTCCCATTATGTACTTGTATGCTTTCCTTTTATCTTCCTGCCTTGATGACAGGCAGTCCTGACCGCGATAGCTTAATCGTACGCTACTTTGAGCTTGGATTTTCATACAAAGAAATAATAGCGTTCCTTAGCGCCTATCATAGCATACGAATATCCTTGCGTCATCGTAAAAGGATATTATCTTCAAAGAGATGTTACAGAAGAAAAAATCACTCAAATATTCGTGAAGTTGTTGATGCAGTAGAAAGAGAACTAGATGGAAGTGGTGGTGAAGTTGGATGCAGGCATATGCATCAGAGATTGCTCACAAAGCATAAGCTTGTTGCATCAAGAGAGACTGTGCGAAAACCGATAGCTGCCCTAGACCCTGAAGGAGTGAGCCAACGTTCGATGAGAAGATTTAGACGCCGTGTGTACTCTGTAAGAGGTCCAAATGATATGTCATATCGACGGATACGACAAGTTAAAACCCTTTGGATTTGCTATACATGGTGCAATAGATGGATACAGCAGGCGAATTCTGTGGCTGCATGTGGGGCAATCGAATAACGACCCTCGAATAATCGCGCAGTATTTTGTAGATTACATTAGAGGCATAGGTCATGGTACAGCTCGTAGGATTCGTGCCGATCGCGGAACAGAAAACACCCATGTGGCACAAATACAACGTTTTCATTTTCAGAGAAAAGTTTCATTTATGGAAAATCAGTGGCCAACAAAAGAATAGAAGCGTGGTGGTCTATTCAACGACGTTGGGGAATTAACCGGTGGATTAACTACTTTTTGTTAAAGACCTTCGCGATAGAGGTAATTTTCCGGTTAATTTAGCTACTACAAAACTGTCCAAATCCAAAGGGTTTTAACTTGTCGTATCCGTCGATATGCCACATATCATTTGGACCTCTTACAGAGAACACACGGCGTCTAAATCTTCTCATCGAACGTTGGCTCACTCCTTCAGGGTCTATAGGGCAGCTATCGTTTTTCGCACAGTCTCTCTTGATGCAACAAGCTTATGCTTTGTGAGCAATCTCTGATGCATATGCCTGTATCCAACTTCACTACCACTTCCATCTAGTTCTTTTTCTACTACATCAACAACTTCACGAATATTTGAGTGATTTTTTTCTTCTGTAACATCTCTTTGCAGATAATTGATCCTTTTATAAGATGATGCAAGGATATTCGTATGCTATGATAGGCGCTAAGGAACGCTATTATTTCTTTGTATGAAAATCCAAGCTCAAAGTAGCGTACAATTAAGCTATCACGGTCTGGACTGCCTGTCATCAAGGCAGGAAGATAAAAGAAAACCATACAAGTACATAATGGGAAAGCAAGCACAAACCATATCAATCAATCCGAAGAATCAACTTGTCGCGATCGGCCATTGTATTTGAAAGAATGGAGAAATGCATGTGATTTTTGATGATCTCTGTCAGAATTTTGAGTTGGGCCTACAAGTCGGTATTCCGTGTTATAAGTCAGAATTCTGCGTTATAAGTCAAAATTCCGTGTTATAAGTCAAAATTCCGTGTTATAAGTCAAAATTCCGCGTTTTAAGTCAGAATTCCGTGTTATAAGTCAGAATTCTGCGTTATAAGTCAAAATTCCGTGTTATAAGTCAGAATTCCGAGTTATAAGTCAGAATTCCGTGTTATAAGTCAGAATTCCGAGTTATAAGTCAGAATTCCGCGTTTTAGGTCAGAATTCCGTGTTATAGGTCAGAATTCCGTGTTATAAGTCAGAATTCCGAGTTGTAAGTCAGAATTCTGAGTTATAAGTCAAAATTCCGTGTTGTAACTATAAGTTAGAATTTCGAGTTATAAGTCAGAATTCTGAGTTATATAGTCAAAATTCTGTGTTATAAGTCAAAATTCCGTGTTATAAGTCAAAATTCCGTGTTATAAGTCAAAATTCCGTGTTATAAGTCAAAATTCCGCGTTTTAAGTTAGAATTCCGTGTTATAAGTCAGAAGTCCGTGTTATAAGTCAAATTTCCGCGTTTTAAGTCAGAATTCCGTGTTATAGGTCAGAATTTCGTGTTATAAGTTAGAATTCCGAGTTGTAAGTCAGAATTCTGAGTTATAAGTCAAAATTCCGTGTTATAACTATAAATTAGAATTCCGAGTTATAAGTCAGAATTCTGAGTTATATAGTCACAATTCCGTGTTATAAGTCAGAATTCTGAGTTATATAGTCAAAATTCCGAGTTATAAGTCAGAATTCTGAGTTATATAGTCAGAATTCCATGTTATAAGTCAGAATTCTGCGTTATAAGTCAGAGTTCTGAGTTGTAAGTCAATTAAACGAAAAGTTTCAGTTTAAACAGTCAATTTTTTGGGGGGAACAAATTGAAAAAATATACCATGTCATGGCATGGCCCTTCAGAGCCACGGTAGCTCACAGACTCAGTTCAGCCATATAATAAACCGATTATTGACCTCCCTTGTTCGGTCTGTACTGTGAAGTATCAGACCTAGCTCTGTTTTTTTGCATGGACCTCGCTCCTCATGAAAATCCTCTCATTGGCGGAAATTCACTTTTTCGGGTGGGGCGGCGAAGCCTTCTGAATTTCCGGCAAAACTTTCAAATTTCCGACAACCCCCCCCCCCATTTGCACTAGAAAAGGCTGTTTTTAGCCCTCTTATAGGTCAAAATTTCCGAAAATTCGTCATTTTCCATGAAGGTGGGTGGGGTGGGGGTGGCGGCCGCACCCCTGCCCCACCGAGATTTCCGCCACTGAATCCTCTCCCAAACTGAGCTGACCACTGAGGAAATTTCGAGTGTAAATTTTTATACATTTATTTAGACTTAATTAACCATCGAAAAAGGTAACTATAGGCCGTCTGGCAGGAATCGAACCAACGGCTCAGCTGCTACGTATACATGCACCGGTGCAGCGCTTTAACCATCTGAGCTACAGTGGCCCGTTGTTGAGCTTTAACCGCAAGTTGTTGTGGATTCTTTCGTACGCGTGTACGTGGATTCCACTAATGCAGTGCTCTGACCAACTGAGCTACAGAGTCCAGTTGTGGAGCTCTAACCACAAGTTCATGTATATATATATATATATATATATTAGGGTACGGCCATGTATATATATTAGGGTACTGGTGTAGTGGTTGGTAACCGGATGGGTTCAAGCCCTGTTCGTGCCATTTTCTCCTTTTTTTATCTCAATTTTTTTTTCTTTTCTAAAAATGTTTGTTTGTACCAAAATTTGTTTTTCAATATCACAGGACAACATTTCGGCAAGGAAAAAATGTTTCACGGGTGTTTACATTTTAACCATTAGGTACGAGTCCCCCGAGCGCCAAATGGCGTTTTATTTTGTTTCATCTTTTTCTTCGTTCACAATGGGTTTATTCAACTACTTTCGTCTGTCCTGCGTTTAGGTAAGAGCTTGGGAACGAGGTTGAATCAGGAACAGCTGCGAAAAATGCAACTATACAACTTGTGGTTTATAGAGCTCGACAACTGGCCTCTGTAGCTCAGTTGATCGGAACGCTGCGCTGGAATCGCAGGGCCGCAGGTTGAATTCCTGCCAGATAGCCTGCATGGCAGGCAGGCGGTCCCTAAAATTGGGCAAGCCTGGGAAAGACCGCCTGCCATGCAGGCTACTGCCGAAGGACGTATAGTTTCATTAGGTCAATTTGCGGGCTTATGTGTACATGAATGATACGAATATATTTCAGTATAGATTGCGCTAATCTATAGCTAGTTCCCTTCCAACTTTGCGAATTAGAAATGAGTGAGAATATGAGTAACATACACATCTTATGCTTATGGGCACACCCTCCTCCCCAGTCCACTCCAGTATGTTCAGATATCAAGCCACAGAAATAAAATTCCTGTTTGAGTGAATGAAATCAAATCAAACACTTCGTCAAATTTCCATCATAAAATTCATTCACAAAAATACAAGTTGTGGTATGAACATTTCTCAAATTGATTATCATGTGCCAAATATACTGCTTTGATAAAAAATTCATAGTATGCAATATCATCTATGCTAAATCAAGTTTTTTTTAGATAAAAAAATGATATATAATTGTGCCAAACAATCGACCGATTTATTGATCAACGATTATAACTTTGAATTACAAATAAAGTGTTTTTAAAAAAATCTACGAACATCTGAAATATATACAATGATTATAATTATGTTCAAATCTAAATATCTAATACTATGCAATAAATCCTCTAATATCCACCCGACAATTCATTTCAAGTACGTTTGGGGGAAGGGCGTGAACTTTGCGCTCAATCAATGAACTC